TTGTGCCTGATCCAACAGAACCATAGCTTAAGATGAAATTGGTGGACTTTTCTAAGAATTGTCTTTACCCAGTTTGGTCTACATGTGACTCCAAACCTGCACAAATATGATTAATCCTCAACTTTCCTCGGAAATATTTTCAATAGCAACATTAAAGCATAGATTAAAAAAGGAGTCCAGTTTAATGGTATCTTCCAATTTGTCTCAAATGTAAATTTATGTTCTCGGTAAAGACAGCGAAGCAGTGGCAGGGCTTACTGCTAGACTGAATAATAGTCTAATATACTGCTGTGAACATGCTTCCTCCAAGGACATAACGATCTTTATACCAACTAACAGTGTGATTAGCTGCAAACGATGTGCTTTAAGGGGCTCTCATATAGGGTGAGGTTTCGGGAGCTGCATACAGCAGGGGCAGGACTGAGAGGGGTTGCAGAAGTGTGGGTGTCACTGCCAACACTCTAACCAATTACATCCAGTAGGGAGCATTCAAGGGTGGCATTCCTGCCCCCTGTGTCATTTGGGACCTGGGTGGATAATTAATTCCCATGCAAGGACCTCATCAGTTGATATTCACTCTACAGTGGGCAGGAGATTTGCCACATGGGAAGTCTAAAAAGCAAATCACACTGAGTTGGATGGCTGTCACTCCACACCAGGGCATGCCTGCAGAGGTGCAGCAATCTTACCTTGTTATCATCAACATGTTTGCTTATTTCTTCCATTGTGACCACAAGCAAGGTCCCATTGTTCAGGGTCCACCTTGCTGCCTGATCAGCTGCAACAGTCATATTATGTACATCTAAAATGGAACATTTGACACCAGGACTGGAGCGCACTTCAAAGAACTGGGATCCTAGAGGTGCCGGCCTGGGGAAAGAGAAAATATTTTAAGTCCAGATAATTGATCACTCAATTCAAAACAGGATGTAATTGTTTTCAAAATAGGGTTTGAACTGGCAATGATGTCCATCCATTAACTCAGTTCAAGGAATCTTTAACCTCTCGGTAATGAGATTAGTCCGCATTTTACAAATGCGCCAAATCCGCACAAGATGGGCACCATTTTTGATTAGAGACCTAAAGGGTAAATGTTCACTTGCTATGATGCATTAAAAGCAGCATCTTAACTTGTAGAAGTACAATGCTGGACTCAATTCCCAGCCCTGATTGCCTCTGCTCAGAGATTCTTACAGTCAGCAACAACAGGAATTGAAAGACAGCTCTCAGAAGATCACAGCTGATATGAAAAGGCACTATTTGATCGAGGCAGGGTAATAACATTTAAACCATTGACAACTCAAAAACCAGGCATCAGGACCGATGACAAATCTTTATTAAAGGAACTGATTTTCACATAATCTTAAAAGGAGGAAAGAGAGGCAAAGAGATTTGAAGACGGCATTCTGGGCCTTAGCAGTTACATAGTGGTGCATAGAATCTAGGAGATAGTGGTCAGAGTTGGAGGAATGAAGAATCTTTGGAGGATTGTCGGGTTGATTACAGAGATGGAAGGGAGCAAGGCCACTGAAGGATTTCAACATGGAATCACTGAGGCCTTAACTTTCCTGCATGTGGCTCTGTGTTTGAAAGTACTGCACATTTCTGTAAAGATGATGCATGAACATGCTTGTGTGCATCTCCAAGGGCTGTTGCGCTGCTTGTTTCTGATAGCTGCATCTTCACAATGTAAAGGATCATTGCACAGGATGTAGAATGTAAAAATCAAGCCGTAATAGACTATCAGCCAAATGTTTGACAGCCACAGGAGGGTGGTGGGTTCTGTGCGAGTAGGATATAAACAGTAGAGCTTTGAAGTAACTCAAATTTACAACACCAACATACTGTTTGTACTTTTTCAGATGCTGCTTTGGGGTGCTTTCATGAAACATGTAACTAAAGAGCTGCTGAGTACTTCCAGAATTTTGTTTGTCTTTCTTGGGTACAAAGTGAACGATCATGCACTTCTCCATGTTGAACTCCATTCACTACTCACTTAATTTCTGAAATCTCCTGCTAATGTGGTGCAATCTACAAACTTGCATGCACAACTCGCAATTCCTTCATCCAATTCACTGATTCGAATAGTGGCAAGTAGAGGCCAGGAGTACAGATTCCTAGGGAATACCATTTCACACAACCCATGCATCAGACTATATTCCCTTTATCTCTACTCTATATGCCACAACCAATTGCCAACATATGTCAGAACGTTATGCAATTTATGTGTTTCCATTGTAAGACATTCGTGATTTTCTCATCTAGATGGTTTCCAGATATATCTCACTGCTTTTTTGTGGAGGAATGTTGCAACATAATGCTTCACGTAACATTAAGGTCAAGGTACCACTTATGACATCCTTTGGGATGATGCTATGACACTTTTTTTAAAATTTTTGATAGATAATGTATGCATAAGTAAAATAGTACTTACACAGATTACATTGAAAATGTCAACATAACTGAAAATGATGTTGCCAACTTTAAACATTATTTCTGCCTGTTAGGTGTCTTTCTGGTCATGCTGAAGATATTTTTAATTGGATTTCCTATTAAACCTTGAAATACAGAATAGCTGTGTGTGTTGCATGCAGTTGCAAATTCTAAGCCCCAAGTATCACCATGCAGCCAGTTAGCTCCTCTGCACATCTGGAGAGTTAAAGCCTCTTTTATACCAAAGATTTTAAATTTATACAACCCAAATTTTCATGTTGCAATTGCTATAGCATGTAGCTCTTGTCACACAAGTTCAGCCAGGTAGTCCTCATAACATATGAGTTAATATAAGAACATAAGAACTAGGAGCAGGAGTAGGCCATCTGGCCCCTTGAGCCTGCCCCACCATTCAATAAGATCATGGCTGATCTTTTTGAGACTCAGCTCCACTTACCCACCCACTCACCATAACCCTTAATTCCTTTACTGTTCAAAAATTTATCTAGCCTTACCTTAAAAACATTCAGCGAAGTAGCTTCAACCGCTTCACTGGGCAGGGAATTCCACAAATTCACAACCCTTTGGGTGAAGAAGTTCCTCCTGACCTCAGTCCTACATCTCCTTCCCTTTATTTTGAGGCGATGCCCTCTAGTCCTAGTTAAAGTGATCCCAGCAAACTTTAGCAGATCAGAGGTGTAGCATATCCTTCTGCAATCTGCATGCGCCTCTCATCCCATTTATTAAAACTTTTAATTATCATCTTTTTGTTCTTTGGCTGTAGCATTCTTTAGAAAGAGGGTGGATTTTTGACTCACTGGCCCTTCTTTACTTTTTAAAAGAAAGGAGGGACTTCCACATTTCTGAGATGGCATTCCACTCAGGACTCCCTCAAATACAAAGTCGTACTTCCATTTCAACAGTTCTTTCATATTACAGAACTGTCAGAGGAAGGCAAATGACACTCACAATGGGTCTTTGGATCTCTTCCTCAAACAGCAGTCAAAAGGAGAGTCTAAATAATTTTAAGGTGGAGGTCACTAGACCCTCGGTAAGCGAGTGGGTGAATGGTTACCAGGAATAGCCAGGAATGTGGAATATTCAGATCAGCTATGGTCGAAGAGCTGGGTGCCCCACAAATTCACAAGTTCCTTATATACATACTTCATTATTATGCCAATCAGGTGCAAGAAGCTATTTTAAACCATGTTAATTATGGCAATTTATGCATGTGTAGGTGTCTTTTGGGCAAGTACAGTGACCATTTTGGATTGCAAAAAGAGAGAAAGGACTTGCATTTTATCAGTGTTTTGATTTCAGCTTACGTTAATATTTGATGAGTCAGATCTCAGAGTGTCAACCTGGCTTGTTGATCCAAACTATTTTGTTAAACTGTGCAGACCAATTACTACACATATTCGCAAGAGGCCACCAATGCATTTTTAATGCAAAGAATAAAATGTTTATTAAACAAGAAGAAAAACAAAGTATATTATATATCTCAAAAAGAAAGGTTGGAAAGTTTTCATTACAAACATCAGACAAAAGATGGACTGACGTTACCCTTATACCCCCAGCAAGATCCTGACAAACACCCACAACCTCAGTGAAGAGTCACCATGATTTCCCCACTAAGGCTCTTTTTTCAGACGCAGATTGGGACAACTTCACTCGATTTGCTTTGGGCAAATTTTCTCTGCAGTCACAATATGCTTTTTCCCCTTCATCTGGTATCTCTGCCAGGGATACCTGAAAACAAAATTTGCTATAACAAGGTGTAGAGCTGGATGAACACAGCAGGCCAAGCAGCATCAGAGGAGCAGGAAAGCTGACGTTTCGGGTCTGGACCCTAAATTTGCTGTTACTTTTAGCTTCAGAGCAAACTCAAGTTCCCTGAACTCAACTGTCCAGGTTCCATTCTGGAGGGTCTTTTTCTGTGGCTGTATACCTTTATGACTATTAAACTGGACTGCTTGCGTCGCCCAGCCAACTGAACTGAGAGACAGAGAGAAATTAAACACTAAGTAAGAAACTGAGGGAAGCAAGGATACAAAATGTACTCTGCTTGAGCCAGTCAGTGACATTTTCTAACAGCTGAAAAATATCTGTTGTATTATATCTGACAGGCAGCATATATAGAGACATACTCATAAAATCATAGCATGTGACCTGAAGGTAAAAACATTCCATACTCCATCTTACCTCAGATCACTGGAAGCATGACACTTTGTTGGAAACCATTAGCTTAGTATTGTTAACACTTGTGGCTGAGAAATGTAATTTTGTTCGTAATAATTAGTTGTAATAAACATCTTGAATTCTTCAAAACCATGATATCCACAGCCAATTTCTTGTGTTATGGGAGCTAACAAAAGCATTGTCACATCAGGTAAAGCACCGTGGTGGAGACAAATTCACACCAACCCCCAATCAGGAGGGAGCTTAGTTGGCAAGATTGAAGGAGGTTCAGCTGGTAACACATCACAAAGCAAATAGCCAGGAATCAAGGATCTGAGTGGGGTGTTATTTCAGAGCATGCATGTACAATATAATTCCTGTTTTAAAATCATGTACTTACTAGCATCCTTCTCTACTAACAAGTCAGTACCTGCCTTCCATATGGAGAGGCTTGGCCAGAGATTGGGACTTCATCAGATGAAGACCCAGCTGTCAATTGTGTATCAATTAAAATCGGGAATAGAGATAAGGCCAGAAATCAAAGAATGCAGATGCCTTGGAGGAGTATTTTGGGACTTGGAGTTTATAGAAATTAGGAGGGGTGAGGCTACAAAAAGAATTGGAAAACATGAATGAGAATTTTAAAAATTAGATTTTTCAGCACTGGGATTCAATGTAGATCAATTAATACAGGGGTGACTGGTGAACAGAATGTGGTCAAGTTAGGATAGAGATATTGGCATTTTGAATAAGCATCATTTATGAAGGTGTAAAACAGGTAACTGGCCAGGAAAAAAAAATTGGAATAGTCATATCGAAGCATAGATTAATGTTTCAGCAGTGTACATAATGATACAATACTTTTACAAGGTTAGCAACGGACACCTAGTCCCTCTGCTTTCGCAATAATCAGCCTGCACTATGAATCATGTCATTGCAATTCAAACTCATAAGTAGCAGGTCAAAGCCATAAACAAACCAAGTGGGAGAGAAAATGAGACAACAAGTGGGAGTCGATACCCTTGCTCAGGTGCCTTAGAGTTCAGAATTCAGAAGCCCAGTATTTGCAAAATGATGTTCGATCAAACATACGTACAAAGATCAACTAATTTACTAAAAAGAAAAATTAAATCAGTTTTACAACTTACTTGTAAATGTCGATGTTGAGCACAGTTCCCACCACATAAATTGCCTGGTTAGGTTTCCCACATTCCAGGCGTACAATCCTTTGTTTGGACATAATGAAGGTTTAACTCCTACAAAGGAATAGTGAGTGTTTCAGCTCATATAGATGTTTATCTATAGACATCAATACAATGCTCACTTAACAGCCCATTAATCTTTCTCTTAACCTGCCTTCTGGTAGGAGAAAAATCCATTATTTTGTATAAACTGTTACTCTGTGACTCAATCTTTTATATTCATCTGCAAAATAAACAGTTTAGGATTTTATTCCTAAAATAAATCATTTCACCTGGTTATCGGAATAAAGAACACTGACCCTATAATAGTTACGTATGTCCTTTTACTTCTTTGTAGAAAACTTTAATTAAAATGAAATGAACCCATTCAAGTGCTTCCTATTATTGAAATCCTCTATTCATCACTTAAATCCATCAACAGTTAATCTGATTTAGGAAAAACATTTCATATTGAAGGATTTGCTCACAGCACACAGAGTTAGTGAAATTTTCTAATCCTCTTAGATTTTAGATGAATCTCAGTTTTTCAATCTCTTTCTTGATACTCACAATGATTACCATTCTAAATCGTCCCACCTTGTATAAGTGCAGAGCTACAACTACTCGAGTGAATTTCAAATTTTAAAACAATTGATTGGAGACTGTTCTGTGCTCACACTTAACCTGTAAGTTCCCGCAAGAGAAAGAGAGACTAAAAGTCATTGATTGAGACAATCATAGATTTCAGAAAAAATAAGCCTTCAACAAGATCCAGAAATTGCTGAATCTCTGTTGACTACAGTTGATTTTGAGAACAAAATAGATTTACCTCTGTGACTGTGGACAGCTGCTTCTCAAGCCTTCTCGGGGACTGTCAGTAAGCATAAAGCTCACAGAGACCAACAAGTATCAACTATAAACCCATGGTTGGCTGATCAGGTGTTTGGAGTCATTTCACAAAAAAAAAGTTGCAGAACCAACACCCTGATTTTTTTTCCAAAGTTGTTGAAATCACAGGTCAGAGGGCATATGTGGATAGAACAGCTACATGTACATTTCAGATGCACAGCCCTTCATCAGAACTCTATTTTCTGATTTTGTTTTGGGGTTTGCAACTTTATACCATTTACTGTACTTTAACGGATCAGAAAGATTGCTCTTGGTCAGCTCTGGCAAACCAATTAACTGTAAATGATGAGAAATATTATTTATTAATTCATAGATGTGGGGGTCACCAGCTGGGCCAATACTGTATTGCCCATTTTTACTTGCTTTAGAGAAGGTGGTAGTGAGCTGCCTTCTTGAACTTTGCATCGTGGATGACAGGTATACCAACGGTGTTGTTATCGGGGTAGTTCCAGGTGTCTGGCCTGAGGACGATAGTGAAAGAACAGTGATGTCATTTCAAATCAGAATGGTATGTGACTTGGAGGGGAGGTTGCAGATGGTGGTGATCCTAATCTATGTGCATTTATGTTGCATTATTAATTCTTCTCACATTTAGTGTGAAGACCTCATCCATGCATTCTATTTTGATTGTGGGCTGCATTTGGAAAAGGATGTCTTATAGTAAAAGGACTGAGAAAGGAATTACCGTACTTTTAAAAAGCAAATTACTGAAACTCATTGTGCGTCATTTTGCACTGTTACTTTGCTAGTAGGGGAAGGTATGAGAGGAAATGGTATGGCACCAGGGTTTGTATAAAGTGAGATTCAGCCTGCAATAATTTGGTGATTGATTTATGACCAATTGTGAATGCCAACGGTCATTAGCCTGACAACACATCTTTGGTTTCTGGGTAGTGCAAATGTAAACCAATTTTATGGGATATAATAACATTTATTGTAAAACCAGAAACCTACGTGTTTTCTGTGTGTCTGAAGCTAATAATTAGACACATACAGCACGGATACAGATCCTTGGGTCCAACTCATCGATGCTGACCAAGTTTCCCCAAACTAAACTTAGTCCCATTTGCCTGCTTTTTGCCCATAATCCCTCTAAACCTTTTTCATGTACCTATTCAAAAGTCTTTTAAATGTTGTAACTGTACCTGCATCTACTGCTTCCTCTGGCAGTTTATTCCAGAGATGAACCACCCTGTGAGAAAAAGCTGCCCCTTTAGGTTCCTTTCAAATCTTTCTTCTCACCTTAAAAATATGCCTCTTAGTTTTGAATTCCCCCACTCCAGGGAAATGACCTTCGCTATTAACTTTATCTATGCCTCTAATGATTTTTTAAAACCTCTATAAAAGGTCACCCCTCAACCTCTTACGTTCCAGGTAAAAGAAAGTCCCAGCCTATCCAAATAACTCAAAGCCTCCAGTCCCGGTAAAACACCCTTGTAAATCTTTTCATACAGTCAGAGTCATATGGTCATACAGCACAGAAACAGACCCTTCGGTCCAACCAGCCCACGCTGAACATAATCCTAAACTAGTCCCACCTGCCTGCTTCTGGCCCATACCCCTCCAAACCTTTCCTATTCATATATCCATCCAAATGTATTTTAAATGTTGTAATTGTAACCGCATCCACTACTTCATGAGGAAGTTCATTCCACACACAAACCACCCTCCATGTAAAAAATTTGCCTCATGTCTTTTTTAAAATCTCTCTCCGCTCACTTTAATATGCCCCCTGAAATTCCCCATGTTAGGGAAAGACAACTACCATCAACTGTACCTATACCTCATTATTTTATAAACTTCTTTCAGGTCACCCCTATACTCCAGTGAGAAAAGTCCCAGTCTATCCAACCTTTCCTTATCACTCAACCATTCCATACCTGGCAACATCCTGGAAAATCTCTTCTGAACCCTCTCCAGCTCGATAATATCCTTCCTGTGTCTGGGTGACCAGAACCGGACACAGTATTCCAGAAGAGGCCCCAATGTCCTGTACAACCCCAACTCCTATACCCAAAGGACCGAGCAATGAAGGCAAACGTGCCAAAATGCCTTTTTAACCAACCTGTTTATATGTAACACAAACTTTAAAGAATTATGTACCTACACCCCTAGGTCCCCCTGTTCTACAACACTGCCCAAGGCCCTACCATTAATTGTATAAGCTCTACCCTTGTTTGTTGTACCAAAATGCAATACCTCGCATTTATCCAGAATGAAATCCACCTACCATTTTTCAGCCTGTTGACCCATTTGATCACGATCACTTTGTAATCTCAAAACCTTCTTCACTGTCCACAATGCCGCCAATTTTGGTATCATTCGCAAACTTACTAACCATGCCTTCTATATTCTCATCCAAACCATTTATATAAATGACAAACAAAAGAGGATCCAGAACAATCTCTGGAACACTGCTGGTCACAGGCCTCCAGCCCAAAAAGCAACACTCTCCACCATTATTCTCTGTCTCCTGCCATTTAGCCAATTATGTATCCAGTTGGCAAGCTCACCCAGAATCCCATGTGACCTAAGTTCACTAATTAGTCTACTGTGCAAAACCTTGTCAAATGTTTTACTAAAATCCAAATAAACAGCATCTACTGCTCTGTTATCAACAACCTTTTTGGTAACTTCAAGGAGTTGATTCCATGTGAAAGGTAAAACAGAGAAGCAGCAGCCTGTAAAGTGCTGTATGAGTTTATATTATACATCATGAACATTCAAAAGAAGTTGGCTCATTTTTGGTTTGGAAACAATCCACTGAAATTGTGCACAGCAGTTTAGTTGCAGTGGGTTAGCTGATCACAACTGGGTTTTCAGTAGGGACATCATAATTGTACTCACTAACTCTAGCTGAAGGAGGGAAAGAAACAGTTTACACAAAAAGTTTCACTGAAGTATGACAACAAAAGTAAAGTGGACCTGACAGAATCTTCAGTTGTGTGGCTTTATGCTCACATTCATGTGTGTTGGTTTTAAGACAGACTGATCCAAGAAGAAGAACTGGTCAAGAACTGTCTAAGCTTGAGCTTCCTTATGACACAGTTTATTACATGTTAAGACTGAATGCCACAATGCATGATATTCAGAGATGTACCAGGTTCTAACCTTACTGCTGCTTTATTGAAAAACTATTCCATAAACTCTATCACCACGTGCTAGTTGTGCTACTCCAGATGCTTCTCTGTACACATCTCTTTTCTTTCTTTTTTTTTTAAAACTCTGCCCACATTCTGCTAGTGAGATGCAATTTCATGACATCATTGCAAGCTTGCTCCAGGGTCCCAAAACCCTTATATAACAGGAGCCATGTACAGATACATTGTATACAGATGGATTTAAATTCACAATCGGAGTTTCGGTTTTATTAAAACGTTAGCATTAAATTGGTAGCGAGGAGAGCTAGTAAAACAAAGATTAAAGGAGAAAGTAATCAGTTTGCAAAGTTTCATACTCCATAGTTATTTTTCATATTTCATATTATTTCTTCATGTCAAACCAGTTCCACCCGTCACTAATACATGACAGCAGGCCCACGTCATCTTATCTTTAACACTCCTTTCATGCAAAAGACACTTTGGATTGTATTACATATTTTAACCTGCAATCTCATTGAAGATTTAAAAAAAAAATGTTGTTTCTAGTGTTCACATCTCACATTCCAAGAAGCAAATATGCCTTGATAACAGTATTGCGTACATTTGAAAGTAATGAATTGAAGTATTTTGGGGCATCTGAGATGTGTAAACATTAAATCAATGCAAGTTCTTTATATACTTGCAGAGCGGTCTTGCTCAAGTTTGTAGAAGTTCAACAGCAATTTGTATTTAAATAGCATCATTGATTAAAAAAGGAGGGGAAAACAATTTGGGGACACAGGAAGTGTGCTGTTAGAGGACAAAAGGTGAATAAAATCGATAAGATAAATCAACTCGTGTACAGTAAAAGAGCTGTTAACCATTTGAAACAGTTGTCTGCAAGCACCAAATTTAGTTTGCTAAATGGTTAGCTGATTTGAAGCTTGAAAAGACCTCCTAGAACTTTTGCGTGCCAATTGTGCCTTCCCATGAAACACCTACTATGTTTCTATCAGTCATAAACTAAATAATGTATGATCCAAGGAAATTCCAGATAAGAACAATGAAGTTTTCCAGATTTGTTTTTTGGTTGCAAAACTAAATGTATTTCTAAAAGGGATGTTCTAAACACAGTATAGATTTAAACTAGTTTTAACACTTGATTGTTACTGGTTACACGTCACTGTTTGAATATTTTTAGGCATTAGTCTTTTGTCAGAAAGTGCATGTGGTCAAGGTTGCACAGAAAAAAGAATCAAAGTTAAAGCAAAAATGTGTTGTTACTTATGGAAACTGTAACTGGCAATTATTCCACCACTTAAAATTAAATAGTTTCTGATGTATATTAGAACTGCAGTGAACTTACCTTCATTCCAGGTGATGGGCAGTAAAGTCATTAATGAAGTTGCCACGAGGTTCCAGTGCCGAGCACACCGCAGATTCCAGTAGACATTTTCCATTGATCAGAGGCCCAAATGGATTTGGAATGCCCAGGTATTTGCGAACAATTATTATATTCACCTAGAGAAACACAGAATAGCTGTATGTGTTAAAGAAAAGGAAAACAGTAACTAGGAAGAGAAAGAAAGGAGCTAAATGACTAAAAAGGGATAAGCAGAGGTCAAAAATTATAGATTGATGAGGAAAGGAATAAATGATGATCAAGTGGAAATTCAACAAAATAAAAGGGAGTTGGTGGCGGTGGTGGGGTAGGGGATGCAAAAGGCAGATACAATTATCTAAGAAAGATGCAATTTCTGCTGAGGTGCTGTGCAGAGACCAGGCATCTGTGTGGTGATGGATTCTAATGGCTGCTCCTGTGTGCCTCACAGTAACCTGCAAGCACATACTGGGAACAAACTACCCAATCTCTTCCTCTGCTCTTTGCTAATATCTTTAAAGCTAAGACAACATAAGAATAATCAATGACACCTTCTTCATTAAATCCCAATT